TCATTTGTATATGTTCCTTATAGAAATATGGCTGTAATAAAGAAATGACACAACGCAAAAAATAGGGCACGTTAAAAATCTTTAGAGACGGCGATTAATTATGACATCGATACGATCTTCAATACTCATGTTCTATCACTAATATTTACTACACCCTTCGTCCCCGAATACCTTAAAGCTTTTAATTTGGATGGGTTAATAAAGAACTGGTGTACAAGGTAAAAGAATATCCCCCATTATATTAAAGCCCTTTTTGTTTAGGTTTATAACCCAACTTATAAGCCGAAAAGTCTAAGCCTAAACAAATAAGCGGCTTTTTCGTTTGGCTTTTCTAAAACTATAAGCCACTCTAACACTATTAAGCCAAAAGCTAAGTTTGAGAAGCTTTTTTTTGGCTTATGTGAGGTAGATGCATAACTCCACCATTAAACTTAGGACATTAAATCTACCGGCTTATAAATCATATAAGCCAATAAGCTGACTTAAAAGTCTAAGCCAATAAACCTATGCCTAATCAAAGAGGGCCTAAGTAGGTGCAGGGCTACTCTCGTTGAGATAGCATAGACCATTAAGGGTAGAAGAGGAAGTTTTGTGCAAAAATTCATCTCTTTAGGTTGTTGTATTTGTGACAAATTTAAATATATTTTGTAACATAGGGAATACTTATATAATAGAGGTTTTTAGAAAAAATAAACATATATAGATATTTTTACGACAGACGTAATAATTAATGTCATTTTCATGTATTGGTGAGTTAAAATTTATTAGATTTAATTATATATGCTCTCAGCATTATCTGTTTTTTTTATCTCCACTTTATCTGTTTTAGTATGGATCGGAGCAAATATGCTACAAGAACCTTTCCCAGAGTGAGTTAAAGCTCAGCTCCCACCTTGGTTAAAAGCAAGGTCAAAGAAAAATGCCCACATGGCCACAAACACCCGCATAGTATATCGTAAATTAAATCACGTGCTTACTACTCCTTCCGTCTTAAAAAAGACAAATCCTGAGTTTCCGTGTCCAACGTTTAACTGTCCGTCTTATATGAATTTTTTTATAATTAGTATTTTTATTGTTGTTAGATGATAAAACATGATTAATACTTTATGCGTGACTTGTCTTTTTAATTTTTTTTCATAATTTTTTCAAATAAGACGGACGGTCAAACGTTGGACACGGAAACCCAGGGTTTGTCTTTTTTTTGGGACGGAGGGAGTACTCTCTAACTCTCACTGGTCTTTATTTTTTTTCCTTAAGTAATACTAGTGTTATTGCTAACAGCGCAAATCTTATACTACCTTCGTCTCAAAATATAAGAAATTTTATTCATTTAACAATAACATTTTAAAAAAATCAGAGCTAGGGATTTTGCCAACATTTTTTAAAAAAGAGCGGAGCTAGGAATTCTGCCAACATTTTAAAAAAGAGCGGAGCTAATGATGCGTGCTACCTTAATTTGGTTGTGTTAGTGTTGCTAATGATATTGAATCTAATCACCTGAAAACAAAAATACAATTAATGTGAGATATATGGAACTCCCTCGGTCCATATATATATATATATATATATATATATATATATATATATATATATATATATATATATATATATATATATATATATATATATATATAGTAAATTTGTTTGGTGCTCCATGGTGCCCGGGCACCATTGTTGAAATTGAGTATATACCCAATTCAAATGAGCATGAAACTTTTTCAATTATTTAGGTATTAATATTAACTACTTTACTAACTAGTTGAAAGCAAGTTTGAACTGAATTTGAACTTGTTTTTGTTAGATTTTGATTCTAGGTATATAGCATCCATACATATAATTAGTTAGGTATGTAATCATGGATTGTGAAATAAAGTTAAATTTAAGTTGTTTTGTTGATAGGTATAGGTATGAATCGAATTCTTATAACTAGGTATATACTCACAATTTGAAAATTTTGAAAAATTTGAGTGATTTTGTGCATTTGAAACCATGGTGTCCGGGCACCATGGTGCCCCATATGAATGTCCTATATATATATATATATATATATATATATATATATATATATATATATATATATATATATATATATATATATATATATATAAAGAAATTTTAGGTTTTAGGTTCTAAATTTGTTCTTTGTTCTTAGTTTGTCCATAAATATATAGACATTTGGAGTATTATTTTCCCGATTCATCCAAACACTAGCTGTACTATCTTAATTAATTTGTCCATAAATAGACATTATGTTCTTAATATATCTCTCTATCTTAGCATAAACTATATATAGAGTTAAATCATTCATATTATCTATTATATAGCTTGAACTTGAATCAGTCAAAGATTGAATCATTCTTAACAGACAAGCATATATAACAAACAGTCGTCCCGACATAAGCACATAATTATGAATTGATCGATGGGGATGACTTTGCTGCAGGCCTCACACATCGTAGCACTAATTAAGATTAAGAAAATGCATGCAAGTGACTACTACTAAGCACAAAAATATTATATCACACGCTATCGGTACCATGTTGTCCTACTTGCATATGTAACTTTATCTTCTTGATATCATGAAAAAGGCATTTTGCAACTTACCACTAATTATTTATATTTTCAGAAAAACATCCCGTGAAAATGGAATAAGTGGATAACGATACAATTTTATCCATTCCCCTTCTCTTTCTCTCTCCGAGTCTTCGTCTTCCTGCTCCGCCTCCGCCTCTCCTCCTTCGCCCCTCTTTTTCCCCTCCCCCTCCTCCTCTCTGCTGTAGAGAGCTTCTTTGTACAAGCATAACGGTGGTGAAGCAGAGTAGCAGACCCTCGAAAATGGATCTAGAGGCCTAGGCCCTCCTCACTGCTAGACCTGCCCTGAGTGCACGTTGGCTACAAGCTGGTCTTGTAGCCTCCTCCTTCATCTCATGCTTGTGAGGTATGGCAACACCCACAAGATCTAGCTCCCATGATAAAAGGAGGCAACTAGCAAGTAGGGAGGCCGTTGGAAAGGATGCTGACTAGCGTGGGCTCCTTGGCCTCCTGCTTCTAGGCGCTTTGTCAATGGTGGAGGAGGGACGCGATCAATGAAGCTTCTAGATTTAGAGCTCATCGCCGGAGTGTGTGCATGTATGTCATGCGATGTATCATCCGCAACTAGTACCTGTAGGTACCATATCTGGTACCTATGGTATCAAGGGTGATACCTAGGTATCAGACCCAGTACATGTAGATACCATGTTTAGTACGCATGGTGTCATGGGTGGTACCTATAGGTTTTAGACCTGGTATTTGCGAGGTATCAAGTATCATGCACCGCGCGCCTCCTCTCCTCTTCTTCTTTCCCCTCGGCTCGACCCTGTCCCCTACTACTGGCGCGACCAACGTCACTGCCTATGTTTCCACAAGCGTTGGTTCAAGACTCGGCGACGCGAACATCTCGAGTAGGGGCGGGATGACTCTAGACTTACGAGGAGAAAGCAAGCATGTGGGATGACATCATCCTCTATAAAGTGTCTTGTTCGAATGGTATCTCGTCCTCTAGCAGCTCTCTATTATATTTAAGAGAATCTATTATATACCACTGAGTTTGTTCAAGTTCAACGATTTGCCATCGACATTGTCTCTCTCTACAATATACCGACGACTTTATCAATTATTCTATATTACACTATTGGGCTGAACCTTCCTTTCAAAAATACCCAAAATACCCTTAGACATTCAAGGTTAACATCCTTACATAACACGAAAATTTGTATAGAAGTTTTAAGTTTTCTTTGCATTCCTATTTTTTTAGAAGAAATATAACTTATATGTTATATGCTATATAAAATATTTTTATCATTGTTTTTAATATAAACAATCTTTCATACCCTACATACGATATTTTTGTGCTATTATATATTGTATAAGCAAATTCTCTTTCATATACCACACAAATATATATTTTTATAAAACCAAAATATACCAGAAAAAAATTGAAACTTGTATACAAACTTCCATGCATGTTGTGTAAGGAGGCCACACAATTTTTTTATATTTTTTTGAAACTTATAATGAAATAAATCAATTCTTAATCTTATATGTCACTAAGGGTATTTTGGGTAATTTTGAAAAGAAGGCCCAGACCAATGGCGTATTGTAGAACAATTAATAAAGTCACCGATATATTATAGAAAGAGACATTGTCGATGGCAAATTGTTGAACTCAAACAAACTCAGTGGTATAGAATAGATTCTCTCATTATATTTTGGGTAAATTTCATAAAACCCCTCATTTTAGGTCAATGTTTAAGAAAAAACATAAGTATTATATATGACTTTTGGCATATAACTATTTATAGGTTTTATGATCTAAATGTTTTATTAATCCCCACCTTTATTTGAATTTTCAATTGATTTTAGCATATCTGAAATATTTTTTTTTGAAAGTAGTGAAGAGTTAAACGAACAACCTTAATCAAGAAATCAACAACTAAAGATTTCATATACATTCTCTGTTCTGAAATTTTTAAGTAAAGATTTGTCAAATATGTATAGAGGTGGGGTTTTGTGAAACTTTAAAACCATAATTGTTAGGGTTATATGCCACTAGTCATAATGCCTTAGGGTTTGCTAAATTTTGCTCTTATATTTTACAAGAATGGCATTAGAGGGTTTGTTTGGCAGCAAGGTTGCTGCAGCCAGCTGCTTCCGCAGTTGTGTGAAATAATGTTGGCGTTGGCGGCAACCCTGCAACCAAGCAGCTGAACAGATGCAGAATGACTGGCATCGATTTTGCGGCAGGTTTGTAATAGCTTATTTATAAAACGGTTTCATATTTACAGTGTTGCCCTAAAGTTTGGCACTTTTGCCGTGGGATCAACCATCTCAAATTTGAGGAATCAGAGTAATTTCCCAACCGTTGGTCTTGCGTTGAGATTCGTGCTCCGGTGGATGTTGACGGAGGCAAAGGCAGCCCCAAAACGGGATCGTAGATATATAAAGGCGTCAAGCGAGCGCACACCCCTTGGGGGCTTGGGCAGCGCGCGCGCAAAACCGAGTTCGCCGCCCACCTCGCCGCCATGGCCATGGAGCTCGCCGCGCTCTGCACCGACCCCGTCGTGCTCTCCGCCGCCTTCCTCTGCCTCCTCCTCCACCTCTCCCTCCGCTCCTACCGCCCGCCCTCCCCCGGCGGCGGCCGCCGCCTCCCCCCGGGACCCCCGGGCCTCCCCGTCCTCGGCGCGCTGCCACTCGTCGGCCCGGCCCCGCACGCCGGCCTGGCGTCGCTGGCGCGCAAGTACGGGCCCGTCATGTACCTCAAGATGGGCACCTGCGGCGTGGTGGTGGCGTCGTCGCCGTGCGCGGCGAGGTCGTTCCTGAAGGCGCTCGACGCCCGGTTCGCGAACCGGCCGGCGGTGGCGAGCGCCGTGGACATCACGTACAACTACCAGAACATGGTGTTCGCCAACTACGGCGCCAGGTGGAAGCTGATGCGGAAGCTGGCGAGCGTCCACCTGCTCGGCGCCCGCGCGCTCGCCGACTGGGCGGCGGTGCGCCGCGACGAGGCCCGCCGGCTGCTGCGCGGCGTGGCGGAGGCGTCCGCCGCCGGCCGCCCCGTCGTCATCCCGGAGGTGCTCGTCTGCGCGCTCGCCAACATCGTCGGCCAGATCACCGTCAGCAAGCGGGTGTTCGACGTGCAGGGCGACGAGTCCAACAGGTGAGCTCGCCGCCGCGCCGGTGGTGCCATTACTATCTAGCTTAATTAGCTAATTATTTCCTATCTCCACTATAGTAGTAGTATAGTTTCATCTTCGTTTTCGATCTTTTTATTCTTTTTGAAAAAAGGAAGAAAATGAAATGGTGTGCAAATCCAATGCATATGAACCTTTTTTGTAAAAAGAAATTGGAACTATGAATGCAATTTAAGTTGTGGTGGAATAGAGCCGACCACTAGTGTGTAGTTATCATGGGATAGGTAGGAGAGCATGCGTGCGCAAGTCAGCACTAGCAATGAGTCACACGTCAACAATCATCGATCACCTATAAAAGAATTACCGAAAGCGAGACAAAATCCACTAACCTTTGTTATTCGTAATATTAGTAGACATCAGCATCATCTAAATGCATAAATAAATACAAAAATATATACTCCGAAATATAGCTATTTCTTGTACAATACCTTATCTCGAAATATACGTACCTAATCCTCTCAACCATTCACCACCATTCTACTTCATCTATTTTCTCTTTTCAATCAATCATACAATTTCTCTAATTATTCTCACATACTTTTTTTAATACATATGCCATTTTTTACAATGTCGATATCTTAGAACGAGAACGGAGTAAGTACTGATTAATGCATCGATCGATGTGCACGCGCATGTTGATCGGGTCGATGACATGGAAAATTTGCAGCTATAAGGATATGATCGTCTCGCTGTTGACGGGTGCGGGGCTGTTCAACATCAGCGACTTCGTGCCGGCGCTGGCGTGGCTGGACCTGCAGGGAGTCCAGGCCAAGTTGCGGCGGATCCACGACCAGTTCGACGTCCTCATCACCAAGCTGCTCGCCGACCACGCCGCCACCGCCGCCGACCGCGCCCGCGCCGGCCGCACCGACTTCGTCGACAGGCTCCGCGCCGCCGTCGGCGTCGACGACGAGGACGGCGAGACCATCTCCGAGGTCAACATCAAGGGCCTCATCTTCGTAAGTCCTTAGTTACCTCACCTTGTACTGATTAATTAACTGCATTATATTGTTACCACTAATTCTGTTTTATAAGTTATTTTTTTATTATAAGTCGTTTTGATTTTTTTATTAAACTTTTTAGGTTTCACTAAGTGTATAGATAAATAAAAGTGCACTACCTACCTAAATTAGTTTTACCATTGAATGTATATTGATAATATATTTGTTTTGTGTTTGAAATAGTGTTATATTTTTTATAAACTTGGTTAAAATTTTAAAAATTTGACTAGGGAAAAATTAAAATGATTTATAATATAAAACAAAGAATAGTGGAATAATTTTTAGCGTGCTGCATACGTATGCGTGACATAGGCGCCACGTAACAGTGAAAACCGTACACGTGTCAGTTCTGCTCTTTTCCCTTTCTTGGGTGGAAGGTGCCTTGCAATGGTGTTTGTTTGTGGGGGCAGCACATTGAGCTATGGATGGTACTTGATTTCATTCATTGCAGTGGAGTTGTTGGAAAGGGATACTATATCATAAGCACTTGAAATGCACATGCCAACCTAACTGAATGTTTTTTCCCAAGGGAATATATATCTCCCATGATAAGTGTCCTCTAGTATCTTTCAGAAAAATAATATATGTCCTTGCAGGGTACCTACACTTGATCAATAGTAATTATTAGGGATCCACCGAATTTTCTATGCTTCACTAACCGCAAAGAAACTTGTTTGTTTCCTACTAATTGTAGAAAAACATAAACTTATTTTCATCCTAAATTATAATAATAAATTTAAAATGTTGTAAATAACTATATATATATATATATTCTCAATGGAGAGATATGAATTTACTACCTCCATTTCATATTATAAATCGCTTTAGCTTTTTCTCTAATAAAAATTCTTTAAATTTAACCAAGTTTATATAAAAATATATTAATATTTTTAACACAAAACAAATATAATATCAAAATATATGTTAGTTTTAATGAAAATAATTTAGTGTTGTAGGTGTTACTAAATTGTTCTATGAACTTGATCAAACTTAAAGAAGTCTGACTAAAAAAATCAAAACGACTTATAATATAAGGAGTAGATGTTTCCTTTTGAGGGAAATGATAGGGGCTCTGTAGTTCGCTATATTCATTTATATGTTAATTTGGAGCAAGCATCCCCTGAAAAAGCTTGAAAACTGTACCACCACAAAAAGGAATTTTGGTGTTTTACAACTTGAGCCAAAATATTAAATACGTAAGTTGCTTGACAAAAAACCTACCGGAGTTGTTATAACATCCTACCAGATCGTTACATTTGGTCGTTTGTGCTCTGAAAAACAACAAAAGGAAAAAAAAATCAACTATAATCAGGATTGAATTGTACTATGGCTAGCTAGCTAGAACCATATGGACCGATCTTTTTAGCTTCCATCAGTTTCTGAAAACCACGTACACTTCTGAATTCAATTAATCTCGGCGATATATGATATGATCTGCCTCCACTCCACACCCACCTAACCACTTCAGAAAACTGCATGAGTGAGTGAGAGTGATGCTTCAACCGCAATATTCTTCTACCTATATATCTATCGCTCCAACACGCGATTGATTAATTAACCACTTAATTAGCTCGATAATTAAGCTGGCTAGCCTTCAGGGTTAGTGGCAGGTACTTGTGAGTCAGCAGTGTCAACACGAAGTAACACGCAATCTGTAGTACATTGTCCATATGGCAGCATCATTATTGGTGCCACAATGACTTGATGCTTCAACTTAACTTCACTTAAACTAACGGATTAGCGGCACCAGCCGGGACTGATGATGAAGGGTAATCAACATCTCTGCTTGACATTGCAACCAAATTAATTGCAGCTAGCTAGCTACTCCTACCCCCGATGCAGCTATCTGAAGTTCCTCTTTAGCTTAGGCAATAATGTTCAGATTAGTATAAGCCTAAACAGACTAATCAAAATGCATGTGCATGCAGTGGTAGAGTACTTGTTATGCTTATGCTTACACATTCTGCTTATTAGCAGCTGAAAATAATTTGTAGATAAATTTTTTATATATGTATGTCTTTAGCAATTGAAAATAAATATTAGCTTATAAGTATAAGCATAAATGAAATGGTGAGACTATCGTGCTCTCAATTAGATGATTGAAGTATATACGTACATACGAGTGTTAGTTGCAACCAAATGTTTCCCGCTACTCGTGATAAAATGGATGCCTTAATTGGGTACAGAAACTATTGATGACTTGTCGATAACTACCGTACCTTGGCCAGTATATATTTCCTGATTGTACGACTGCGACATGTAGACGTACTGACGAGACGAACTGAACCTACCAGTCTACCACACTGTACTGTACAAGAGTCAAATTAAGATGACTGAAGCAACTCATAACAATGATCTGCAGCCGTCACTAGCTTAACTACCATTAAAAGTTTAGATATAGATGACAGCTGATAATATGGATGGCTAATTATCATGCTGCCAAGTTACATCTATATCGATTTCACTTGCCTTCCAAGTTCCAACGCACTGCTGTTTCCCACTGGAATCTATCGATTTCACTTTCATTTCAACGCACTGCTATTTTTCCAATGAAGAAAAAAAATTGTCGGTATAGGAGATCACCGTTTTCAAATTTCTTGACCATACTTGAAAGCAACTCATCGTTAAATATATATATTTGAATAAATTGTGGGCTTGATATCAACAGGACAACAAGTATATTAATTAGTTAAGTTAGTCCTTTTTGGGTTGGCGAGAAGTCCACCTACGGCACACTTGATCGATCTCTCCAAGTAGTGCCCCATCATCGGTTGGTGCAGTGTGGCTACCCCTTGCTTTGCTTCTCTTAAAATGATGGACACATACATATCTCAGTAGCTAGCACTTTCTCTGTGCAGTAATAATAAAAACAATTTAATCATTATGAAAAATAGCACTGCCTCAAATTAGTGATGTTTTGGGCATCAAGTTTATATCTTCTTTTCTTATGTGATTGGCCATGCATCTGTCTGAAGACACAGGAATAATTCATACTAAAACTAAAATTCCCCTTCAAACTGTGGTGAACTTTTCATCATGACCAACAAGTGCAAAATTGTATGAATGATTATTAAGACTGTATTTTCGTTAAGCAGTTTGATCTAAGTGACATCTTTCCATTACGTTGACTATTTCTTTTACTATTTATCAATCACCTTAATTTTGCACTTCTTCCGTTTCATATTATAAATAGTTTAATTTTTTATTAGTCAAATTTCTTGAATTTTGACCAATTTTATAGAATAATATACTAATATTTTTAATACAAAACAAATATATTATCAAAATATATTTAATTTTAAATTCAATAAAACTAATAAGGTGTAGAAGATGTTGCTATTTTCTTCTGTAAATTTAGTCAAACCTAAAGAACTTTAACTAATAAAAAAATAAACAACTTATAATATGAAACGAAAGGAGTAACTTTTTTATCGTGTTCGACTACCTCCGTCCTGAAAAAAAAAGTCTTCTTGACTACTTCCTCTGTTTCTAAATATTTGACGACGTTGATTTTTTTTAAATATGTTTGACCGTTTGTCTTATTCAAAAAATTTAACTAATTATTAATTGTTTTCCTATCATTTGATTCATTGTTAAATATACTTATATGTATACATATAGTTTTACATGTTTCACAAAAAAAATTTAATAAGACAAACGGTTAAATATGTGCTAAAAGTCAACGGTGTTAAATATTTAGAAATGGAGGGAGTATAAAAAAAATGTAGTACAATTTTCACGCATGTTAATTTGATGTATGCATGTATGTACGCAGGACATGTTCACGGCCGGGACGGACACGTCGTCGATCATCGTGGAGTGGGCGATGGCGGAGATGATGAAGAACCCGGCGGTGATGGCGCGGGCGCAGGAGGAGATGGACCGCGTCGTCGGCCGCGGCCGCCGCCTGGAGGAGTCCGACATCGCCAGCCTCCCCTACCTCCAGGCCGTCTGCAAGGAGGCCATGCGGCTCCACCCCTCCACGCCGCTCAGCCTCCCGCACTTCTCCTTCGACGAGTGCGACGTCGACGGCTACCGCATCCCGGCGAACACGCGGCTGCTCATCAACATCTACGCCATCGGCCGCGACCCGTCGGCGTGGGAGGACCCGCTGGAGTTCAGGCCGGAGCGGTTCATGCCGGGGGGCGCCGCCGAGCGCGTGGACCCGCTCGGCAACTACTTCGAGCTCATCCCCTTCGGCGCCGGCAGGAGGATCTGCGCCGGGAAGCTCGCCGGCATGGTGTTCGTCCAGTACTTCCTCGGCACGCTGCTGCACTCGTTCGACTGGCGGCTCCCCGACGGCGAGGACAAGGTGGACATGTCGGAGACGTTCGGCCTCGCGCTGCCCAAGGCCGTCCCGCTCCGCGCCCTCGTCACGCCGCGCCTCGCGCCGGCCGCCTACGCGTGACGGCCGGCCGGCGACGACGAGGACGACGCCGTGTATGTGATCGATCGAGTTCGCCGCGGCGGCGGCGGCGGCGGCGATCTGATGTTGCGGTTGTCTGTACGTAAATATATTTTTCGTTTGTTGGTTTCGAAAGCAAAACACAATTAAGAACGCCCAAATATTGCAAGCAAATACGCCTGTGAATTGATTTCTTCTATGATCTGTTTCATCGATCCTAGCTAACGTGTTTTATCGAGGCAAGTTAATTAGAACGAATTGACGGATTGTAATTGTTGGGGTTAACTTAGGACAACGTACGTTGATAATGGTAGGAGGACAAATGTCATCCAACTTTGAAAAATGAAAATCGAGTTTCAAGAAATAAAGTTTATTGAGTAAATTTCAGAAAATTGTACTTTTATTGACTAAATTATCATTTTGCTGCAATCTTTGCATCACATTTCAGAAAAACTGCAAAAGTAGCGTTGGAAATTATCACATAGCTGCAATTCCGTCGGATACCCCGTTAATGACATTCTGGGCCCACGTGTCATACATATATATGCTTGAGAGAGGAAGAAACGGAGGGCCATGTCAGCATGCCACCTCATGTTTTTACTGCAGCAATGCCACATCAGTGCATGCTTGGGCGGGAAAAATACGTACGTAGTCCGGCTGCACCACTTTGGCTTGTTCAGGGGCACAGGCCGACAGGTCCATCAAAATACACCTTTAAAGTCCACATTTCCTTGGCTATCCTACCAAGTTGCCAAGAAAGAGTGATATTTGCATTTGAACACAGCAGGAATACGATCGTCAACAAATCACATCCCTAACCCTAGAAAAATCACCCTCCAATAAACCCGAGAAATACACCAATCGGACAACAAAGAACCATTATCCAGGTGCAAAATTACTCAAAATCTAAGTTATTCCCTCGATTTCGACAACTTCAGCTCCTACCTGTACTAACATCATTGTACTCCACTCAAAATATGTGACAAAACGAGATTCATATTGAATATATTGAAACATTTTATTAATTTAAAAGTAATTTATTACATGTTAGAAAGTACCTTCCATGTTATCAGGAAGTAACTATTACATCTTATACATGGTTAATTATCATTAGTTATTGCATCAATGTTATTTACAATCCATCAAAGGTTTTATCTTCTTTTCTCATTTTACATGAAAAACAAAAATGAAAGGAAAAAAACAATCGGTGATTAAACAGATTTATAGAGTTAATTCCGAACCATGCAAAAGTTAGTTCCAATTAACATTGAAGTTACTTTTAAAAACTGTTAAACTTACGTGTGTTGATTTATACTGATTAAATAAAGTTTTCTAGATAAAGTCATATTTTTATCCCTACAACGAATTTACTTCTAATGTCGTGACAAAGTTACTTTCGTTTTATTTTAAGTTACTTTTATAATATATGTAAATAACTTTTAAAATTTATTGAATTTACTTTTATATGTCTAAGAAGTAATTTAGTCAAATCTAAAAGTAACTTATATATATATGATAAAAGTAACTTACATATATAATAAAAGTAATTTACAAATATAAATATTTTTTCATCATAATATAATCAAGTATGATCTTGTTGTGAAGATTTAATTGTTGTGAACACAATGGTGTAATCGGATAAGTAATTTGAGAGAAAACTTTATATTTAAAGAGGAAGAAGACATACATGTCTATTAAAAAAATGCATGCATGTAGTAGACTTCTCCACGTGCATGAGACGGTTCGGATGTCGCTCGTTAAGGCAAAAGCGAGATGCCTCTTCAAATAGATTTTACCAAAGAAGCCTCCACGTTTGCTCTCATGGCCTAAAAATTCCTACGTTAATCGGAGAAAAGGAAAAGTAGAGTCTATATAGGAATACAATTTAAAAATAGCTGAAATACAGAATTAAAAATAAGGAATATGGAAAGAGGAGACTAGGGTCCATACAAGTATATAATGTAGAATTAATTAAAATTCGGAATTAAAAAATATGAAAAACTAAAAGTATAAGGTAGAGTCCATATAGAAATATAATTTAGAAATAACTAAAATTCAAAATGAAAAAAAGTAAGATTGGGAGAAAAGTCTAGAGTCCATATATAAATACAATTTATAAATATCTGAAATTCAAAATTTTTTAAAAAAAATATTAGAAAAAAAAGTCTAGAGTCCATATAGGAATACAATTTATAAATAACTTAAATTCAAAATCAAAGAAATACAAAATATTGAAAAATAAATTTAGAGTCCATATAAAAATAAAATTAGAAATAACAGATTGGGAATTAGAAAAGTAGAAATATTGGAAGAAAAGTATATTGTCCATAAAGGAATTTAGAACTAGCTGAAAGTCGGATCTAAAAAATAAGAAAATTAAAAGTAGAGTTTAGACTCCATATAGAAATACAATTTATAATTAAAAAAATTGAAAATTGAAAAAATAAACAAGATTGGGAGAAGAGTTTAGCGTCCATATAGGAATACAATTTATAAATAACTGAAATTCGAAATTAACAAATAAGTAATATTGGGAAAAAAATTCTAGAGTCCATATAGGAATACAATTTATAAATAACTAGAGTAAAATTTTTAAAATAAGAAATATTGGAAAAAAATGTCAAGAGTCAATATAGGAATACAATTTACCAATAATTCAAATTCAAAATTTAAAAAATAAGAAATATTGAAAGAAGAGTTTAGACTCCATATAGAAATACAATTTATAAACAACTAAAATTCAGAGTTAACAGAAATGAATATTGGAAGAGTAGTCTAGAATCCATATAAGAATAAAATTTATGAATAAAGGAAACATGAAATTTAAAAAATAAGGAATATAGAAAGATGAGTCTTGAGTCCATATACAAATACAATTTATAAATAACTATAATATACAATACAATAAAAATATCACACATTTGTTAATTAGTTCAACCAAGAATTTAAAATTATGTTGCCATTTTAATATATTTTAATAATAAAATGTAAAAATATTTAAGCTATTATATGAGAAAATATAACAATGCTAGCCGCACAATCTACGCGGATCACCATGCTAGTTATCTTAAAATATATATATATATATATATATATATATATATATATATATATATATATATATATATATATATATATATATATATATCCGTGTCGTGTCCCTAGCTTCAACTTTGGTTGTGCCTTGCCAACCAGCACGCAAATCGAAAGGGAAGCATATAGTAGTAGCATGTGGGCTACGACTGTATTCGTTGTTGGGAGTTTGGATGTAAACTCTCCGTACGGAAAATAGAGTGGTCCATTAGCACGTGATTAATTAAGTATTAGCTATTTTTTTAAAAAAAATGGATCAATATGATTTTTTAAGCAACTTTTGTATATAAACTTTTTACAACAAACGCACCGTTTAGCGGTTTGAAAAACGTGCACGCGGAAAAAGAGAGGGGTGAGTTGGGAAAGGGGGATTCGGAACACACCCCTAAGTACATATATACGGAGAGAATTAATGCCAAAGTCACATGCAAATTAATTTCAGTACACTATAAATTAATTAATACTTCTAAAATTATTTCACCCGGACACAACTAAGGTAAGGAAGAACAAGAAAACTCTACTCCTCATTAATAATATTGGGTGCTTGGCAATGCCATGCATGAGCTTTTGAGGTTGTTTTCGAATGATTAATCCACCTTTGGGTCTAAAATATTGTTGTTTTCGAAGGATTAATCCACCTTTGGGTCTAAAATAAAAGAGTAAACTGCATCTTGGGCTACTTTTTATTATCTATGTTGCAATTTGGACCCGGGTAAATAAAACTTTTCATTTTGGACCGGGTATCTTTACACAAGGTTTTAATTTGGACTCTCTTCTTCTGTACAAGATGTAGCACTAGCGGAGGTCGAGCATGAGCTTGAGCGTGGCTGTCTGCTACTTGGCTTAGTTCTTATCGTCAGTTCAGTAAGTAGCAACAGTTGTCTATCATTGCCAGTCAGCTTCTTCATATGCTAGTTGCTACTAGTAAGAATACTTGTTGTGCACCCTCTGTTGTCCTTGAAATTAAGCCACAAGCACTAGCTAGTCGATGATTGGAAATGCAAACTACCCTTTGAATTCTTTGGAAGACTTTACAGACTAAAGGGAAGAAAGGAGGAAGAGAATTGGAGGAAGAAGACGGGAGTCCAAATTGAAACATCATGTAAAGATATCTGGTCCAAAGTGAAAAGTTTGGCTTTAGCCTAGTCCAAATTGTAGCAATGATAATCAAATTTGGCTCAAGGTGCAATTCACTCAAAATAAAATCAAATACATGTATTAGATAGTTTGAAGCAAATCTCGACAAAAAAGTCAAAAAATTTAAGCAAATCTCTCTCAAATATTTTTTTTTCAACAAAACCTAATTGATTGGACGCGCAAAGCCATCTTAGGACTAGGGTTAAAGTATAGCACGCCCGCCCAGCTAGTCCTAGTATATGGGACAAGAATTTTCTACACCTAGGTGCCATGGCACCCAACATTCGTATGCGACTTAAATAGTTATAAAAAAATTAAAAAATATATAGTAACATCTGACGGAGCGTGGGGCTCCTCACCGGGAGACCGCGCAGGCCCCCCTTTGCCGGTTCGGCCGGGGACTCAGGGTGAGATTCTAAGCTCTCTGTATGTGGAAGGTTCGCGAGACAGGAAGCACACAAAACGCCGGCGATGTATACAGGTTCGGGCCGCTGAGAAGCGTAATACCCTACTCCTGTGTTTTGGGAGATCTGTATATGAAGGAGCTACAAAGTATCAGTCAGCCTCTCCCTTCTTCTGGGTTTCTAATCTCCAAAAGTCCCCTCCCTAAGTGGGCAAGGTCCTCCTTTTATATCTTAAGGGGATACCACATGCACCATTTCTCCCTTTTTTTTTGTGGGGACTTCCCCCACCTTTTCATAAATGGATGGAGATTTGTATCGTTGCCGTCCGAGTCACCTTCTGATGGGACGGCCCACAACTACCTCCACTTTCGCCGGGAGCAGATGCGACGTGGAATCGTGGCCGCCAGCTGACGACATGACCGGAGTCAGACCAGTCACGTCGGTCATTCTTGTCCACCACATGTCAGCTTTAGCAATCTACATGTTCGCCCTTCTTCACACAACATCTTGCTTGTAACGGTTAGGATAAAGCCTGGCATATATCTGATCAAGACTAACGTGCCATCTCTGGGAGGTAACACGCTAGCTCCAGCTGGGGACGAGCGCCTAGAAGCCCTCGTCCTGACGGGATGGGGCGAGGCGTGCGTCAGACCGCCTGTCGCCACCTAACCCGCGATCTGACCGGTCTGTGACTGGTCACAGACCGGATAAATGAGTGCACTGCACTGCGTTACATGCGGCGTGACGCGCTCGTCCAAACCGCAATAAATGTGGCTAGGTGAGCGCCGCTGCGCTCACCTAACCCATACACGCGGCGCAAAACCCACAAGGGGTCGGGGCGCCTCGGCCCTCGGGGCCGAGGCGGGAGCGGTCCGACCCCCTCGGGGAGACAAAGAGGAGGGCGAACACATCACCCTCGGGCCCGACGCCTCCCGAGGGTGCCAGGCCACGTGGGCGATTGTGTCTGCCTCAAGCCTCTAGTCATGATACTCCCGGTCCCATGTCACCGACAGTAGCCCCCGGCGTTATGCCAGGGCGATCGCCCTCCCCGAGGGAAGCGGTCGGGCGTGACGCCACTTCTAAGGCCTGGTGACAGGTGGGGCCGGTTCCTACAGGTGCCGTCGAACTACATCACCCAGAGGGCGGTGTGAGGCAGCTGCGATGGGCTCGAGCTGGCCTCGGGGGCGGAGACGAGCTCGGGAGCTGGGGTCCACTCCACCACAAAGTCGGCGAGGGCCTGGCTCTTGATCGCGTGGCTTGGTTCAAAGCGCAAATCGAATTCAGAGAGTTCGATTGCCCATTTCACCACCCGTCCAGTACCCTCTCGATTATGCAAGATTTGGCCGAGGGGGTAAGACGTAACCACCGTGACCCGATGCGCCTGGAAATAATGGCGCAACTTCCTCGAAGTTATCAGGATAGCGTAAAGCATCTTCTGGGCCTGAGGGTATCGGGTCTCAGCGTCCCGGAGGGCCTCGCTAACGAAGTAGACGGGCCGCTGCACCTTTCGGCGGGGCCGATCTTCTTCGTCAGGGGCCACATCTCCAGGGCGCTCTCCATCCGAGAGGCCACGCGGGGCGTACTCGGCTTCTGTGCCGACGACCTCGGGGTCAGAGGGCGACAGGCGCGGCCTTCCCGCAGTGGCCTCGGGGCCATCCTGGGGGTCGGGGGCGCCTGGCACCGTCGGACAAGCAGGCGGAGGGCCAGCTCCGGCCGTCGGGGGCGTTGGGCCGCCGTTCGGCTCGGGGGCCTCTCCTCCCTGCTCTCTCTCTCTTCGGGCAGAATCCCGGCGGTCGCAAATCGCGCGCATCAGCAAGGGAAAACCGACCGACAATAATGAGCGGCCCCTCGGCTCGCGTTTGCCTTCAACTCCGACGAGGAGTGCGGTGACGACGGTGCAGACGACAGCGACGGCAAGGCCGGCTACCCGGGCGCGTCGGAGTGAGCCCCCAGGCCTCCGCCAATCTTAATAGCTTTTCCTTCTTCTTCCGAGGCATTCGGGCCCCCTTCTTGTTATAGGCTGATTTAATCTACAATCAAATAAAGAGGAAATTTTTGTGTCAATTTCATTTGTTCTGTGTATGAGACGAGGATGGTCTGTGCCACGGTCCTTCTGTGTCTTGGCTTGAACAAGGGCTCGTGCCCAGGTCCCAGCCTCAAACGGCGCGGGTCAAGGCTAGTGCCTGGGGAGATCCACATGTCGAGACTGGCCAGGCCGGGAGCGTGGTGACCGAGGGTTATGGGTGACCCGATTGTGGGTTTTTGCCGATTCCCCCCCGGAGTTCACCACGCCCCGGGGCACGGCTCGGTTCTGGGCCCCGTTTGGCGATTTTAGCCTGACCCGAGCCCCCGAGGGTAGGATTGAGCACGAGTGACCTATTTCAAGTCAAGATTCTTCAAAAGGAAACAAAAGCACAGACACAGCCTTTAGGAAATCGAAAATGCTTTTATTGAAATACGGAAGAGAAAAAAGATAAGCCCCCGGCCAACCCTGCACGCCCGGGGGGGTGCGGGGTTGGCCCGAGCCCAAGACCTGACACCCGATCCCCTTTTAGGGGTAGAAGCGACGAAGGTGTTCGATGTTCCACGGGTTAGGCAGCTCTGTGCCGTCGCCCGTGGCCAGCCGAACGGAGCCCGGCCGGGGGACGCCGATCACTCGATACGGACCCTCCCACATTGGTGAGAGCTTGCTCAATCCAGCACGCGTTTGGACGCGGCGTAGGACGAGGTCGTCGACGCAGAGTGATCGGGCCCGGACGTGGCGCTGATGGTAGCGCCGCAGGCTCTGCTGGTAGCGCGCGGCTCGAAGGGCCGCGCGCCACCTTCGCTCTTCCAAGTAGCCGAGGTCAGGGAGCGTCGGCTTCCTTCTTTTTGTCGCTCGCAGGCCTCCCCTTTCGGGTGGCCAGCGAAACGCCTTCGACGGCGAGGACATGACCCTCGTCGTCGGAATGGGCCGACCTCTTCTTCCTCCTCCTGTCCTGCCGCCCTGACCGAGCGGCGGACCCGGGGGCGGCCGAAGCTGCCACACCGGAACCGGAGGGGTTCCAAGTCCAGGCCTCCTCCTTGCGAGCCACTCGGTCCGCGAGCTGAAAAAGCTCCGCGGTAGTCTGGGGCTCTTTGGAGGCGATCTTTTCGAGCATGCGGTTGTGCCGCACACCCCCCCTGAACGCGTAGATCACCGCGTGTGCAGGGATGCATGGTATGGTGTTGCGGACTTGACAGAACCGCTGAATGTACGAGCGAAGTGACTCATCATCCCTTCGCTGTACTACGTGCAAGTCCGCTTCCTCACCTGGGCGCGGATATGTGCCTTGAAAGTTCATGGTGAACTGTTGGCACAAATCCTCCCAAGAGTGGACAGATGCGGGTGGCAAGTTCATTAGCCAACCCCGCGCCTGTCCTCTCAGGGCCATGGGAAAGAAATTCGCCATGACCCTGTCGTCACCCCCGGCGGCCTCGATCCCGGTCGTGTAGACCTGGAGAAACTCGGCGGGGTTGACGCTCCCGTCATATTTTTCGGCGATGGTGGGCCGGAACCTTGGGGGCCAACGGACATTCCGAAGACTCGCCACAAAGGCTCTACAGCCGACACCACCAACCGGGGGTACGGAGGGCTGATTCCCGCGTCCGTGTTGAGGTGACACTCTGGACGAGGAAGCGCCCTCCGTTGCGTGGGTAGCACGTCGGCCATTACGCCGCCGCTCGATGCTAGTGCGGGCGTCCGGCCCCCCACGCAGATCTTCCCGGGTCGAAGGAGTCGACGAAGGAGTGGTGGGGCGAGGCGTGCGTCAGACCGCCTGTCGCCACCTAACCCGCGATCTGACCGGTCTGTGACTGGTCACAGACCGGATAAATGAGTGCACTGCACTGCGTTACATGCGGCGTGACGCGCTCGTCCAAACCGCAATAAATGTGGCTAGGTGAGCGCAGCGGCGCTCACCTAACCCATACACGCGGCGCAAAACCCACAAGGGGTCGGGGCGCCTCGGTCCTCGGGGCCGAGGCGGGAGCGGTCCGACCCCCTCGGGGAGACAAAGAGGAGGGCGAACACATCACCCTCGGGCCCGACGCCCCCCGAGGGTGCCAGGCCACGTGGGCGATTGTGTCTGCCTCAAGCCTCTAGTCATGATACTCCCGGTCCCATGTCACCGACAACATCGATTGCGATGATATAAGTCTATATACAAACATGCATGACTAAATTTAATCTACAATAAGAGAAACAAAAATAATAAAATCAGATAGTGAATACCTGTACAGCGTAGATAAAATTTATTATTTTTGTTTTTCATATGTCGATCGAATTTATACCTTTTTTTTTTCAAGTGTCTTATATTATTATAGTCTATTTTATCAAATTTTTTGAAATTTTTATATAACTGTTTAAATTAACAGCAATCCGGAGATAACAATTACTACTACTAAGCAGCAGTTAATGCCTGAAGCGAAGCGAAAGCCAGCAAATCGAGCTTGTCGAATCGAAGGAAGGAGTTGGAGGAAGCAAGCAAGGCATCGACCGGACCGGAACGAACCTGCGTGCGGTTGTCGGAGCTAGCGAGCGCGGATGCCATGCGCGTGGCCATCCGCCGCGTCCGCGCGCTGATGCGGTGGAACGGCCCCACGATCTCCTCCTCCTCCCCCTCCATCCCGGCAACGGCGAGCGAAGAGCGGCGGCGGCGGCGGATGGCGAGAGAGATCCTCGAGCGGAGAGGCCGTGGGGAGCTTTGCGTGCGGACTTGGGCTGGTCTGCTGCTTCGGCCCATTAACTAACCTGCCCACCGAGGCCCGGCTCTCCGCCTGCTCATGTGAAGCAATTGGGCTGGTCTGCTGGCTCGGTTCGGCCCATCAACCAGACCAAGACGACGACGAAGCAACTGTTTCGATCTCCATAAATCTCGCAACTATTACCTGCATGCGCACAAGATCGTGAGCGTCTCCACATATGGACAACGCGGCGCCGCCGCCGTCATCTGGAGCGGCGGGGAAGGAGATGGCCACGGCGGAGGCGCTACCGGACGACCTGCTCGACGAGATCCTCCTCCGCCTGCCGGCGCGTTCCATCCTCCGGTGCCGCGCCGTCTGCAAGGCTTGGCGCTCCCGCACCTCCCACCCCTACTTCCTCCGAGCCCACGCCGCCCGTTCCAGGATAATCGCCGCCGCCGTGGTGGACACTACTGTAATTCCCGACGGCGAAGTCTGCACCACCATCAGCATCAGATCTTTTGGCGACGGCGACGGCTACCGCTCGGGGGCGGCCGTGTCGTCGTCGTCGTCGTTCGCCTCGGTGCGGTTCGATTCCCGGCCTTTTGTCCTCGGCTCCTGGGACGGCGTCGTGTGCCTGGTGCCCCGTCCTACTGCCGGTTTCGTTCGCCCTCGCAATCCCATCGACCGATACGTGCTCGTCAATCCGCTCACCAAGGCCTGCACCAGCGTGCCGCCGCCGGCAACCCGCGGCATCGTCATCTGCGGTTACGCCCACCCGACCACGTCGCGCTACCACCTCCTGCACGCCGACAGCTTCTTTTCCTACGACGGTACGGCGAGGGCGACCATCCAGATTCTGCGAGTCGGGGAGAAGAACAACGTGTGGCGCAAGATCGCCCGCCACCCTGCGCCTGCGGGCGTCGTGGAGTCGAGGACCTACATTCGATTGGGCGGCGCTCCACCCGTCAGCCTCCACGGCTGCCTGCACTGGCTGGTCGCCCCGTCGTCGGCACGGCCTCTCCTATCGGTGTTCGACATGGAACGGGAGGAGTTCCGGCAGATGGACACCCCCGAACAATGGGCTCGCCATGGGAACCTGCCGCACATGATGAGTGTACAGATCGCTCGGCGCTCCGGCAAGCTGTGCGCGTTCGTCCACGAGCCGAGCGCCAGCGCGTTGGGGATGTGGATGCTCGAGGACTACTCCGACCCGAGCAGCTGGCGGCTGGAGCGGAGGATCGACTACTCGCGCCACGGCGCCGGCAGCCGGAACGTCGCGCGCACGTTCCGCAACAAGTTCTCGGCGGCCACCACCGCGGTGGAGGTGCTACCCGATGGTGTCAACGGCGGCGGCGGCGAGGAGGAGATCATGTTCCAGTTCTTGATCAACCAGTTCGACATGAGGGAGGCTGTGTACAACGTTGGGCGCGGGGCGTGGCGGTGGCGTAGGATTTTGCCACCGACGAGGCGCGTGATGACGCACAAGGAGTGCATGTTGCCGCGTGAGGTGAGCTTCGGTGGGTCGGCGCATTTTGTGGAGGAGAGTGACATCGGCGGCCATCGTTGCTTTTGCTTATGGTAGTAGCTGGAGTAGTTGGGTTTGGGCTTGCTCGTTTTAAGCGCGGTTCTAAGATGTGGTTGATTCTAATTATTTAGGTTTGGTAGAAATGAGATTAAGAGTTGAAGGCATTACCGCTCTATTTGGCTCATATTACGCAAAACATGCGTGAGTGCTGGTACCATTCAGCCAGAAAGAACTCAGAACATATTTGCCACGTGAAGGTTCAGTAGACACCACTTTGTTTGGAGATGGATTCTAATCTCTCGGGACATGTCCACCCGTTTCTTGCATGCCACTTAAATGATTATGAAAAAATTTCAAAAAAAATTAGAAAATAGGTTAATATGTAATATATCATTTCACAAACATGTAAGTTCAAATTTGACTTCTACAAGTTGTAAAAAAAATAACAAATTAAACTCTAACTAGTATACGTATATTCACAGTCAAATTTGTTATTTTTGTTACAATTTGTAGAAGTCGAATTTGAACTTGCATGTTTGTGAGATGATATATCACATATTAACCTATCATGTCAATTTTTTTGAAAATTTTTCATAACCATTTAGATGACATGTAAGAAACAGGTGGACGTCCACCCGAGTGTATTTGGAGGAATTCCACATCAAAGAACAATAGTTTGGACGAAATTGATGGTGGCCAATGAACCAGAGATATATCTCAAGTTCTCAACAGGTTTCAGCCTCTTTCATTAAAACAGTCCATTACCTGGTTCCATTGCAAGAAGAGAAGCACGGTGTTCGGTAAATGTGCCAATAAAGAGTAGACTGACAAGTAGACAACCATACGGGTACACTTCAAACTCTACGATGAAATACTTTTTTTTTCTCTTAATCTCTAGCTAATATAATATACTTTTTAAAAGGCTTTGTTAAGTTATACTACAAGAGATATATCAACATGGGATCCCCTGATACTGATAAGAATGAAATGCCAAGAAAAATTTAGTTTCTTTGCGTTCCATAGTGTCGACCACTAAATTGCTATCAAGTGTTAAACAAAACATGCGCAAGAGTAAGGAGCAAAAAACGAGGTTCAGAGTGTTAATCAGGATTCAGGAGATAATTAAGTAATTAGTACTCCAGTTTAGTGCTACTACTAAGAAGCGACAGTTGCTGCCAGATGCGAAGCTCGATCAGCGAGCGAATCGAATCGAAGGAACCTGCGCGCGGTTGTCGGAGCTGGCGAGGGCGGAGGCCATGCATGTGCGGCTTCAAGTTCAGAAACTGAAGAAATTGAGTCTTGGTTTTTCCTCATGAATCATGAGGGAAAAAACCAGTTGTGATTGTGTTTGCTTATGGTATTACTGTGTTCAAAAACACCATGAACATTCCGATTTTAGATCCTGTGAGGTCTCGAGATGTTGTGATGCATGGTCATCAATCAATTTCGCAGTTCTGAAAAGTTTGACGATATTCGGCTTGGCGGCGGCGATGCCACCGTCTAGCACCGTGGCCGGAGGCAACATGGACGGGCAAGGGCTAGCAGGATTGATCATGGTCATGCATTGGCCTCGTGAGGACATGGAACTGGAAGAGATGGGGGCATTGGAGGAACCAGATCCTCTAACGTAGAGGATTCTACGTTAGAGGGACGTAGAAAGCAGCAGCGCCGTTTATTACGCATCCGACGACCGTGCTCGTTTTCCTTTGATCAGTCCAGAAGCGCAATGCTTCGCGGCCCAGTTGCGAACAAAATGAAGGGGAGAAACGACGATCGGAGAAAGAAAACGAAGCTGCCACTAGTCGGCCATGGCCACCGGCCACTCGCTGTCGCTCGTCGTCTCCCTTGAACGCGTAACATACTAACATGTGTGCAAGCCGGCGTGGGAACGGAAGAGAAGATGAGATATGAGTAAATAATCAGCAGAGTTGCATTACTCTGATCGATTGAGCTGCTACTGTTCGTTTCCTCCAATCCTCCTCCTTGATTTACGTCTGTTGCAACGAAACAACTAGCAGAATGTGCCAGAGGAAAAAGAAAAGGCGAGCATGCGCACGAGTTGAGGAACGTGAGATTACTTGCTGAGGTTCCAAAGAGTTGCTGGTATTGAGGCATTGAGCATGGCGCGGGGGCGGTTGGTCCGCAAATTTTTGAAGCCCATCGACGTGGACCTCAACCTCCATGCCGGGGCAGCAAAACCGCGCGGGGGAGGACCTGGGAGCAAGGGATGGGGAGGAGGGCGGCGGAAGAAGGGGCTTCCTCGGGGATTTGCTTGACCTGTACCCGCGTAGTGGGAGGCGATGATCGACGAACGGCAGCAAGTAGCCGGCGGCCATGGCCGACTAGGGGCGGTTTCGTTTTCTTTCCATGCGTGGTTTTTCCCCTTCGCTTTGACTGCATATGGGCCGAACCATCGCGCTTCTGGACTGGTCGAAAGAGGGCGGAGGCTAGAGAAAACCGGCGCTGCCGTCAGATGCGAAATAAACGGCGCTCAAGCCTTCTACATCCCTCTGACGTAGAATCTTGGGAAACTATTCTAATCCCTCGAGGGGATGTTCCCTCGTTTGCTCAAAAACCATCTAAATGGTTATGAAAAATTCTAGAAAATTTGACAACATTCATACAACACATATATACAACTTCACAAAATCGTAAGTCCAAACTCAACTCACACGTTGAGATATAAAAAAGACAAATTCAGCGTATGAATAGTAGCATACTGTTTATATCTAAATTTGTCTTTTTTGTTTCTCGGTGTGTAGATCGAATTTGAACATGAATTTTGGTGGACTAGTAGGTATCATTATGCTCTACATTGTCATTTTTTTTAGATTTTTTCACAACTATTTGCATCGAATTTAAAAGAAAAAGGTATACGAGGGGATATCCCCTCGAGGGATTAGAATCCACCCCCTAGAATCTTCTATGTTAGAGGATCTGGTTCCGGCATTGGAGGGGAAGAAGAGACTATTTGCATTGAGATTCGTACTGGATCAGCCTCGTAGCCGAAGCGCGATGTGATTCTATTCACATCCAAATTAATTTCAGAACACTATAAATTAATTAATACTTCTAAAACTATTTCACCCGGACACAACTAAGCTAAGGAAGAACAAGAAAACTCCACTCCTCATTAACAATATTGGGTGCTTGGCAATGGCATCACTGGTGGAGAAACCCTTTGTAGTCCCGGTTCGTAACCCCCCTTTAGTCCCGGTTTCCAAACCGGGAGTACCAATCCGGGACTAAAGATCGCTATCTTTAGTCCCGGGTGAAATAACCGGGACTAAAGATCGAGCTGACCATTTTTTTTTGCATGGCCCTGTTGCTGCATGGTTTATATATATATATAGTTTATATATATATATATATATATATATATATATATATATATATATATATATATATATAAACCATGCATATATATGTTTCAATACATATATATGCATACATATATATATATGTATATATATATATATTATATTATATTATATGTATATACATGCATAATATATATGTATTTATACACATATATATGTTATGCAAATTAATGCATATGTATATAGATATATATATATGACCAAAATATATTTACATTATAGAAAATGTGTACACATGCATATAGAAACATATGTAGTCATGTATTAATTACAATCCATTATATGTCCTAGCTAGCTAGCTATCATTTCGACGTAGTAGTACTCGCTGCTAGCTCAGAAGCTAAGGACCGGTGAATTGTGTTTCCGTCGTAGTAGAATTCACCCTTGGGATTAAGGATTTCTTCGTTGATGAATCCCATGAGTTGTTCTTGAACCGCCGTGATAAATTCCTTGTGTGTGGTCAGGTTATCCCTCATGCGAATAAACTATATGAATGTATGAAATTGATTAGTAATTAAACAAGAAATCGCTACGTAATGAAATTTTGAATTTATTTGTACGTACATCGAGCTCTCTTGTGGTGATGATTTGGTTTGCAAGGCAGTGGCAATACTCGCACACGTAATAGCCGCACAAGTTATTTCCCTGCTTTTGCTTTGCGCACTACAAATAAATGACAAACAACGAGAGATCTAATTAATATACACTTGTATGTATTTGAATCGGAGAAATATAAATATAGAGCATGTGTACTCACAGGAAATTTGAACTTCCGCCTAAGTCTTTCTCTCCATTTGCCGCGGACCAAATGACGGAACCGATACCAAGCCCTACATGGAGTTTAAAGCTATGATTCGTAGTAGCAATTAACATAACAAGATTTTCTTAATTAACAAAGGAACTTATGACGGTACCTGTCTATAAGTTCGAAAACCTTGTCAAACGTAGACTCTTTTTTATCCATTGAGTCATATACGTTGACGGTGCAGGCCTCCAGGTCGAAGAGTAAAAGCACCCAGTGGAATCTGCAATGTGCGTGGGATGCATTACATATGAAACACTTAGCAAGTTCGTACGGGAATGAAATTTGGTATGTAGGAAGACAGTAAAATTAAACTAACTCTGTGTTGTATGGCAACAGTATGAACGTCTTGTAATGCTGCGCCTTCAGGAGATGGACGAGATTGTCCTCTGTTTCTTGTGGATATTGGTCGAGCAATGCGACGTTTACTCTCCGAGGGTCGATGAATCCAGTATCGAAAACCCTCCGCCGTCGGGCCCTTTGAATCTCCATTCTACAACGATAAAAGGGAGTATATTATTTTCTATAGTCTACTTATATACAAGGACCTAATTTATTAAAGGAGACGTATAGTAAGAAATCTAACCGAACGATATACTTACAAAATCCAGCAACTCATAATAGAGACGTCGAGGGCGTCCAGCTGGTATAGTTCGTAGATTCCCTTGAAATTGATCCAGAGAATGTCATCTCCTTGCAAGAAGTCCGTGTCCCTGATCCTCGCTCCGATCATCTCTCTACCGGCGGCGCTCATCTCCATGTACAGCTGATGGAATTTGTACATTTGTGTGGGTAGGGACTGCAGCAGCTCAGGCTTGACAAGCGGTTTACCGAGTTCGTACATGTATTTCACTTCCGCCTTTTCGATTGGTGCGACTCTAGCAATTGATCCGTAGTTAGACCGGTGTCAGTAATAAATTGTTCTA